TATCTTGATGATAATCTAGACTACATTTTTTTATATCCTTAGCCAATAATAATAGAGCCTCCAGATGCTCCTCCACAATGTAAGATCAATATTCTTTTACCCCTCGCTAGGGGTACATCAGCCACGCATTTTTTACTACCATCAGACCAACTTTTTTTTGTAATTTCATGAGTGGCAAACCAAGTTTCATCCAAATAATACACTGTTCATCCTTCACTACGAAATTGCCGAATTTTTTCAATATAATCTTGTCTCCATTTTACCAATCGTTTGTCCACCACTTTAAATCTAAAACCACAGCTTATACAATACAGCTCCACAACTCCGTGTCGGCGTCTTTGATCTGGCGGTCGAGAACCAAGCAAGACGGAATGGTGCTATCTCTGTTAGATTCGAGGGAAAAGTCGGGCCCGGATTAAACAATTTTTTTATTATTGAAAAAATTGAAAACCTTGGCGTAATAAGGTTGGTTACATGCCATATTAAGTAAGTTTTGGGAAATTAAATTTTTAATTTGTTTTAAATCTGTCAAATATAATTAGAAACATTATTTAAATATAAATATTACGAAAAATAGCACATCTTTCGGATTAGAGGTAAAATAATTTGTATGTGGCTAGTAAAATCCTCGTTAACAAATGTTTTGAGCTAAAACAGTCACTTCACGACAAATTGTGGCTTGGATCCTTTTTACACCAAGGGCTTCAATTGTTAAAGAATTGTGTCACGCTCGTGGATGCAAATCAAGTGGTACCCCGTGTCTCTGGCAAGTGTTACTCTTCGCGCAAAGGGTTTATACCTAGATAAACGAATGCTTCGACTGAGGTCTGGGAACTCTATGGTATTTTGGAATTATAAAGAATTTGTGCTTTTATTTTAACAATATTGGTTATATTTAGATGTATTCTTATTAATTGAAATACAGATTTGTAGAAGTAATACTTTGACAGTTTTTATTAATATAATATATTCAATTTTTATCTGACCATACCGAAGTAGGGAATTTTGAAACTTTATAGTAATGTGAAATTTGAATTACAATATTACACGATATTACATAATTAGTACTTATTTTAGGTAGGCACTAAATTTGTACTTGGAGAAAGTAATATCGATTTTTATAAGAAAACTTGAAAAGTAAATTAATTTAGTTCCTATTTCTGATGTAAAACTTAAGTTTTGGTTTAAACCAAGAAAACAAATAAATTATAGTTTGTTCAACAAGGGTGGATATGATAGCAATATCACACAAAGACGAAGTTTGAGCACGACGTCGTATGCGGAGTACTCAATCGTCTGATTGTGATATGAACAATCCACTCTATATGGTCAGTATATTTTTTCTACGACCCACTAACGAAAATCTACAAATTTAAAAAATTATTTTAGGTTATTTAGACAAAATAACTAATTTTAAAATAATTTACGAAGTTGACTAATTTATAAAATAAAATTAACATGAAAAATTAATTAGTCCTCGGCCTAGATTCGATCCCGGGCTTTTCGCGTGGAAGGCAGATGCTCTGTCCTCATCTTCGCCGAAACTTTCAGGACTTTAGTTTTAATACTCGTAATTAAATTAGTATCATGTAGTTTGATTAAAATTTATTTTTTTTTAAATGTGGACACAATAAAAACAAAAATGCTATTATTTATCGAGTCTACACAAAAATTTTAATGTATATTTAATATCAATAACTAAAATATATATTGACAATTAGTTTAACAGAATTGTCATTTATTTAAAAAAATTTAAATAATAGGAGTTGGGTGACCAAAATATGAACTGTGATTTGTAGATTTAATTTTGTTAAAGTGTTCTCACTACCTAAAATGGATATGAAATATATTCGTAGTTGAACGCAATAACATACTTTTTCGTTTTGTAGTATGTGCATAGATTGGCTAATATCCATGCACAGATTACAAAACGAAAAAGTATGCTATTGCCTTCAATTGAACGAATATATTTCTTATCCATTCTAGGTAGTGAGAACACTGCAAAAAAAAATAAATTCGCCAATCACCGTTCATATTTTGATCAACCGACTGCTATTATTTTTAAAATTTTAAATAAATGACAATTCTGTCAAACTAATTGTCAGTATATTTTTTAGTTATTGAGATTAAACATACAATAAAATAAGTTATTCTTTTGGAAAACGTTAGCATGGATGACTAAAGGGTATTGGGTTAATTAATTCTAAAAGTGTGGTACAAATGTTATTTTTTGTAGCCAATTCTTCAAAATTATTTTGAAATATCTTTTCAATATTGAATATTAGTTCTACAAATTCATCATTTGACAGTTGCAGATTTCCAAATGTATCTGGATTGGCGTTATCATATGCCTTTAAAAAGCAATAAAAAGAAAAATCATCTAATTCAACATGATCTTTGTTATATTTAAGACAGGTATCGCAGAGGAGTGGATCCGCAAGGCTTTTATTAAAAGGTAACCACACACATACCTGATAAAATTTTTCTGTATCAATTCGTCTTTACAATAATTTAGGGTGTTAATAATTTTATCATAAAATAAAATATAAGGTGTTCCATTTAAAAAACATACATTTTAATTTGTTAGGCAAAAACGTGACACCCTGTATATCCAAAGATATTTTTAAAATATGTAGGTATTTTTCAAATCCATATAACTTTTATTTAAAACTTTCTTGCGTGTCTACAACAAAATAATGAACAATAACGCACTAATGGGATACCCTGTATAAATTATATTTTTAACAATGAAAATTTCTTATAACGTGGTACTTATCGGTTTGAGTCCTTGGGAAAACTAAAGAATGTTTTCTTGCAGGTATAACCCTTATTAAAACAGCTTTTGACTGCACAAACAGAATTATGTCTTTTTTTTCACTCATTCTACTCATAGCTAAAGAGTCACCAAAATAATAACAGTACCTTTAACTCAAACAAAATCAACGAAATTATAGGCTCCACGAAATTATACAATCAACGAAATTATAGGCTCCACGAAATTATACAATCAACGAAATTATACGCACGAGTCAACACCTTACCTAAGTACGCTTCTGAACACCAAAACCGTCTTTTCCCTTCGAAGGCGGAGCTTAAGCGATGCGCGACGAAATCGACGCAAACCGTTGCCGCCAAGAGAGTGTTTTAGCTGTATTGTATAAGCTGTACTAAAACCATGTGATCTTAAAAATCTCCACAAAGTAGTTTTATGTCAATTTCCAATTATCATTTTGTTTTTTAAAGTTTTCATTAGTTTGCTTAAATTTGGGAAGTTGTTTGCATCATACATGTCATATAATGTTTGTCTGATAGGTTCCAATAAATGCTTTGGTATACAACGAGAAAAACTGAAATCGTTTCGCGAATACCGAGGTTCTGCTCAATTTTTTATAATTTTAGCTACTAATGAAGCAGAAATATTAGTTAAAAATATTGTCCGCTCCACAGCGGCAGATCGTGGTAACTCCAATTTAAGTTCTGCAAATAAATAAAATAGTATTTATCAACAGATCCTCCCAAAAAAACTGTTTATAACATATGCATACAATTTAATAAGAAAATAGATGAGTGCGCTTTTTCTTTATCAAAGCCGACACATCCACATTTATTTCGGGAATAAATTCATCACTTTCTAACTCCATTATTTTAACAACACAAACTATATCGACAAACTATAAAACAGAAATAAATCAGGTTTGTTAACGATGGTCGATGGTCAGTTCAACCCTGCCCTTTCAACTGATGAGACAATTACAACAGTGCCTCTATATAGACAAGAGAATTTAATTGTGCTTTTGCGAATGTATATCAAGACTGACATTCCTTACACTTCTAATAAATAATAGTAATTATAATAATATTATTAAATCGTCTTTATTCACTATATCACAAATACAAAGAAAGAATACATTTTTCCAAATAAATATAAAAAAAATGAGAATGGGGAATAGCAAAACAATATTATGACAACCATATTGGGCCTAATGCTTATAGTGACGACGCAGTTCGGGAAACTTGGCGAAAAGCACTTTCAATTGCAACTCCAGAAGTGTGGCGGAACTGTATTTCCAAGTGCGAGAAATGGTAGACTCGTGAAAATGAAATAAACGAAATAAGTCCAATTATAATAACAATTAATGGTGATGACAGTGATAATGATGACGATTATGATATTTTGGATGATAATGACTGATTTTAATTTTTGTTGGCAAGTTCAATTTTTTTCATTTGAAATTCTCAATTGGAACAAATTTTTATGTTAGAAAATATTTTATTTGACCTAAATAACCCTCTTATCATACATAGACCATATTTTCTGTGTGAAGTGTAATATAAAATTATTATTAGGTTTATAATAGCCACATTAGACTCCATTAATGAAGAAGTTTAATTCTACTCTTAATTACATAAAAGATTCTCCATTATTATTTAATTAAAAAGTTGTACATTATTTTTCATTTCATTTAACCAGTTGATATTTCCCCAAAGAACAGGTCAAACTTTCGGGTACTTACCTGGAAATACTCATAAAATTTTTAATCAGAAACCCGTGTAAGTATAGCGAACATACTGTAAGTTACCCTTACCTTATGTGGATGCAATTTCGTTGTGACCTTCTTCGAATCAGCTAGGAAACCATTTTTTGGGATGCAGTTTCATAGGAACCCTATAATTAATCATCTAATAAATTTATTTAAACATTTCAAGTACATTTTTAACTATTTTAGATAAACTTATATCAGTTATTTTATTTAAATATTCTAGATATTTTCTTGTGTACTTCGGCTCTTTAATTCATCTGTGTTTAGCACATTATCTTCTTTTATTATTAATTTATATCCCTTTTCTATATTTTTCTGAAATTTAAATACAACCTATATGATTATGATGACGATAAAATTAAAATGTGTCAAAAAAAAGTTAAATTTTGGACTAATGAGAAAATTAATGTTTGTTCGAAATGTATTCCACTCTTCACCTCAATTTAATATCTGTTTTAGTAAACCTAAATGGCATGACAATGGGAGCGACCGTAGTATGGATATCACCAGTAGCTTCAAAGTTAAGTACCTACAATTCTGAACAAAACCCTTTTGGAATGCCCATAACGACATTGGAACTTTCACTCATAGGATCTTTGTCGCAAACTGGAATGGTACTAGGGCCCTTTCTACTAGAAAGACTCTTCGATCAATTTGGAAGAAAAAGATCTTTAAATATATTGTCTGTGATCCTAGTAGCTTGTTATGTGTCTCTAGCATTCTCAAGGCACATTTATTTATACTACGTATTGATTTTTTTAATAGGAATTCTAATAGGCGGAAATACTATAGCAATATACATGTATATTAGCGAAATTACAGAAGATCATAATCGAGGAAGAGTTAGTTGTTATGGTGGATTGTTTATGCCGCTAGGTAATTTATATGGATTCTTACTGGGTCCCTTTCTCTCAGTAAAGATTTTTACGTTATTGTGTATTCTTCCATCGTTGTTTATGATAATCGTTTCCGAATTATTTTTGCCAGAATCTCCGCAGTATTTAATTAGCCAAGGTAAGAGAGAAGAAGCCCGAAAAACTATAAAGAAACTATTAGGATCAAATCAATCAAGGACTGAAGAAGTTGCTGCCGATATCGAGTTTAATGTGTGTAAAACAAAAGAAGCAAACACAAGTAATATTAAGGAATTATTTACAAATAAGAGTTCCCGAAATGGGTTGACGATTTGTTGTATTTTAAGCTCTATCACAGCATTTTCCGGAATTCCAGCTATTATGTCTTATTTACAGTTAATTTTTGAAACGGCTGGAACGGATATTTCCGCTTCTACTTGCACTGTTATTATAGGAGTTTTACAAATATTTTGTTATTTTACAGCTTCAGTTTTAGTGGAAAAATGGGGTAGACGATCGTTATTATTATGTTCAGCAATTATCACGACAATTCCTCTTTCTATTTTAGGTGTATATTTTTGTTTAATTAATATCGGTTCTCCTATTGTCGATAATGTAAGATGGGTACCTATTGTTGGTATAATGTTGTTAATGATAACCGCGATTACTGGAATTTGTTCTGTGCCTGTAGCGTATTTGAACGAAGTATTTATTAGCGATGTCAAATCAATAGCTATGTCTTTTGTTTATTTTACTAGCGGTATAATATCAGCTGGTTTAGTTTTTCTGTTTCCCATCATGATGGAAACAATAGGTTTATACAGCAGTTTTTGGATATTCGCTGTGCTTTGTATATTCTCATTTGTGTTTGTATATTTTAAAGTTCCTGAAACGAAGGGTAAAAATATTTTGGAAATACAAGACATACTTGCTAAATAAATTGTGGAAGAACTAATTTTTAATTCTTTGATTTTTTTATAAAACTTCGAGTTATAACTCGGAAAGTAATGTGCTTTTTTGTTATGCCACAATTTTTTGTATTTTTTTTTTATTTTTACTACTATTTACTATAACTACTTATTATTAGCTTCAGAACTACAATTGAGATGGGTTTTAATTTTGGATTTCTATTAAACTTTATGTCCAAGTATTTTAATGTTTGTCGTATACTGTTTACCAACATAATGTATTTATCTGCCTTATATTGACCATCTAGACCGTTTATTTTTATATTAAATTATTGTTGTATTCATTTTGTGATTTTTATTTCTATTGTTGTTTAATAGGTAGTTCAAACAAAAAGTCCTCCAAAGGAGAATGGGCAGTTTTGCCCCACCTCCCAATAGGAGTAAGATATATGCCAAATGAAAGATATCGGGAAGGAGAACATTTGTTTTTATTATGACTTCTCTCAATTGTCTGTCCGTTCCGAGTTATACAGTGTGTCTACTTAAGTTGATACCATATAGAATACTTTTTTAATATTGGTTTTCTGAAAAAAATTATTGTTGATAAGAAGTTCTGCATGGTCCAAAACATAAAATGCAATCATCAGATATCAATTTTTTTAAGCCGTATACGAGGTTTGTCAAAAAATATTAACTTTACTCAAGAGTAAAGTACCTTATTTCTTAAAATACAGAAGAATGTTATAAAATATCCAAATATTACAGTCATTTAGCATAAAAATTCAGGTTAGGTGATTATTTACGTTTTACATTATATATTATTTGTAGTTATAAATAAATAATCACCAAACCTGATTTTTAATGCCAAATGGTTATAATTGTATATTTTTAATTCAAAATACCTTTATTTTATAACATTCTCATGTATTTTAAAAAATAAAGGTTCTTTACTCTTGAGTAAAATTCATATTTTTTGACAAATCTCGTATACAGCTTAAAAAAATATATCTGATCGTTGCATTTTAAGTTTTGGACCATATAGAACTTTTTATCATATATGAATTTTTTTTACAAAACCTATAATAAAAAAGTTTCTCACAGGTTCCAACTTAAGTAGAAATACTGTATGATAGTGCATGGATGCTTTAATTTAACTATAGTTTAACTAATATGAGTTATGGAGTAACTGTTGCCATAGGGACACTTGTCATTGTAACAACTAAACAAAAACTCAAATCTTGAATTGAAAAAATGCATAGATGTCAAATCATAGATGATATAATTTAACTTTAGTTTAAGTGAAAGGCATTTTTCATGCAAGCCATGTACTAGCTAGCATGAGAATTGCCTATTACTTTCATGTTGTATTGATATTATATTGTACTAAGTAATTAAAACGGTTGTAATGTTTAAAATTTTTCAATGTTAATACTTTTTAAATAGAAACTTTTTGAAGCAAACTGTAAATTCCAAAATATTTTTTTAATTAGAGCTCCAATAGATATTCATCTTTCTGTATAAAAGTAATTTGAAAAAATCATGTCATAGTCTGGACCGACACGTATAGGATGCACCACCCTCTATGTATTACAAATAGCTTAATATTCGTTCTAATGTAAATGGGGTAATAATATTTATGATTGTATTATTATGTTAGTCCATTACCTTGGTCTTGAACCATTGGTTCCGGTCCTTCGGAGAGCATATACAGGGCTGTGTAACCAACACGTACAGGCCATTTAGTAAGGGATACACGTGTCGGATAAAATCCTCGATAGCATCTTATGATATACCCAGATATTATAATTGTTTATGTATTACTAAGAAGTAATAATTACTATTATTTTCCTGTAATAAGCACTACAATAACAGAATATAAGCACTAGCCTATCGTGCAATTAGTTACATTTATTTATTTATTTCTTTATTCCAGAAACAAACAGGCATGAGACTAATTACATGTTCCTATAAATACAGCGAAAATAGAAATCAACAAAAATACATAATATCTAATTAAATATATAAGTGAAATTATAATAAACAAACCTCGCTACTACAAAATTTTAACAAAGTTCATTAAAGAACAAAACTACTACTGAAATAATCAGAAATATTCAGGAATAATCAGAGCGTCTGCAAAACCCCACACCAAGGCCACGGAAATCCTACAAGGTTATGTCTCTTTAATCGAGCCCAACAATTTTGTTAAGTTCCTTTCTATATGTGCTTATAGCTACATCAAAAATACCGCAAGAAATGCCTTCGGAGTGTACATTAAACAAAAGACAAATTTTTTCTACTGGACCATGATTATCCGCACGAAAAGTTAATTGACGTGGACGAATACCTGCTATTGGAACATTAATTTTTATTTGACTCAATAAATATTGACTGTCCAAATATCCATTTAATAATTTATGTAAAAAGACAAGGTTGATTATAGAGCGTCTATGTTCCAATTTTTCAATTTCAAACTCTTTTCTAATAGGTCCAAATGAAACAAAACCTGGACTTGTATGATACTTTTTAAAGTATAAATATTTGACAAATTTATTTTGAATAGTTTCCAAAATGTGTTTTAAATTTTGTTGTGTAGGGTCCCATACAGTGGATGCATATTCTAATTTACTACGAACGAGAGCAAAAAATACATTTCTAATCGAGTGTGTGTCTGTAAAGTCCCTAGTCGTGCGTTTCAAAAAACCTAACAATTTGTTAGCATCTTTGGTAATGTTATGGATATGCTCGTCAAATTTGAAATTATTTTGAAAAACTATTCCCAAGTCGGTCATTTTTGACACTCTTTCTAGTGTTGATCCTTGCATTGTGTAGATAAAATTTTGAGGATTACGAATGTTACTAAATGTAATAACCTTGCATTTGGAAAGATTAAAATGTAATTTATTTTCAAATGACCAATCCGAAATTGAATCTAAGTCATTTTGAAGGTCTAGATAGTCATCTAGGGTGGATATTTTCTTAAAAACTTTCAGATCATCTGCATACATTAGGCAGTCTGATGTAATACGTAGAGGAAGGTCATTAACAAATATTAAGAAAAGTAGAGGGCCCAAATTGGAGCTCTGAGGGACCCCAGAGCCTGCGAGGATTGTATGAGATACTTCACCACCAAACATTACGTATTGATACCTTAGTTTTAGATAAGACATGAAGAAATTTATTAGATGATCGCTAAGACCATAATATTTCAGTTTAGCTAGAAGAATATTGTGATTTACCTTATCGAAGGCTTTCTTAAAATCAGTATAAATACAATCTACTTGCTAACGAGAATTTACACATTTTGATATTTTATCACTGAAAGTTAATAAATTTGTATCTACAGATTTTTTACGACAAAATCCATGTTGTTCGGTTGATATGTATTTTTGAAAGTAAGCATACATTTTATCATATATTACAAATTCAAACAGTTTCGCCGTACAATTTAATATGGCTATGGGACGATAATTATCTATTTTATTTTTATCCCCTTTTTTAAAAATTGGTGTTAATCTCGTTCTTTTAAATTCACTAGGAAATATGGATGTTTTAAGCGACTTATTAAAAATTACCAGCAAAGGGTATATTAAATAATCTTTACAAGCTTTTAGGATATAACAAGGAATATTATCAGGACCCGCTGTCTTTTTCGGTTTTAACTTTTGAAATGCCGCTTCTAAGTCTTTGACGGATATTAGATCGAAGTCAATATTCTGATAAAAATTTACGTTCCAATTGTTAGTCAAACCATTAATATCTATAAGGTTATAGTTTGAATCGTTGTCATACACTGAACTGAAATAATCAGCGAACTCCCCTGCTATAATTTTTTTGTCAGATATTTCCCTATTATTTATAATAAAATTTGATTCAGATATATTATATTATTAGACCTCTTATCTTTAATGAACTTCCAAAAAAGCATGGGGTCCTGGTTAACACAGTTCTGCATATTTTGGATATAATTATTGTGCGCCGTCCTTATTTTCAATTTTAGGTCCGCCCTAATTTTTGTATATCTACTAAAATAATATTCCGATAGATGTTTTCTTTTTCTGAAAAATTCTTTGTACTTTATGTCGATTTTTATTTCATCCGTGAACCATGGCGGAAACTGTTTGCAATATGCATGTGGCCTATTAGTAAACTTTGGTACACATATGTCAAGCATTTCATAAAAAACCTGGTAAAAATATTTGACAGAATCATCAACCTTTTCAATGTGTCCAATTTTGGACTAATTAAAATCCCTTAGTAGTTCGCATAGTAATGATGTCATCTTTTTAGGATGGTATAACTTGGAACGGACAAGTAATTGAGATGAGTCGTAATAAAGAGAAATGTTCTCCTTAAAAAGATCTTTCATTTGATATACAGGGTGTTAAAAAAAAAGTGTCACAAAATGAAATGGTGAATAGTATGACCCAAAATAAGCAGAAAAGTCTTAATAAATATATGACCGCAAATTAACGGTTTCGGAGATACGGACCATTTTGTGTTTATAACAATTTTTTATTATTATAAAAAAAACAATGATATTTATAAACAATCAATAACAACATAGAGTTAAATGAGATGTTCAAAGTGCCCTCCCTCCATTTCAATGCATTGCCATTTGCACGACCGTACATAAAATGCATGTCAGCTAATTCAATATTAGTGTAAACAGGCATAACGAAAATTTATAAAATTATTCACCCACAACAAAATAATAACTGCAAATAGTATCTATGAAAAAACATCGGTAGACTCCGATAAGAAAAGCAAGTTTTTGAGAATGAAAAAAGATAATCAAAAAATGATACAAAACACAAAACACTCCGTATCTCTGAAACCATTCATTTGCGGACATATGTTTATTAAGACTTTTCTGCATATTTTGGCCTATACTACCCCCCGTTTTATTTTGTGACACTTTTTTTTTAACACCCTGTATAACTTATCCTTATTGGAGCTGGGGCAATTTCCCATACATTTCTGCCCATTGTCCTTTATATAGAGAGCGTTACTTTAATAATGTGAAATTAAATTTCTGCTAATATGGCATCCGTAAAATCCTGTAGAGAACCATGCAAATAAATTCACATGGTCTTCCGTAAGATCTGAAACCGTGTTAATTTAATGCAGAAATCTGGGATGGAATTTTGGAGTCTCGAAAATAGCGTCGAAAATAGCCGAGAAAATATTGAAAATAATCGGCTAAACATTAAAAATGGATTTACGAAATCGAAAATACTCTAGCTCGAACTGCGATACTGAGAAAAAATAAGATGAAAACATGTTCTAATATTAGGGGATGAATTAGCTAGAAATGTATCTAATTATTTAAATTCATATGTTGATGCATCAGAATATTCAGTGGTATGTGTTAGTAAAACTAATATTAATTTTGAAACTTTGATAGATTCAGTTTTTGAATATTCTCAGAAGTGTGGTAAAAATTACTTTCTCTTTATAATAGTTAATACACTGAATATTTTTAATAATGCTTTATTATGTAAGGCTCTAGTTCAGTTATTACCACTAGGTAGATTAACAAATCTATTTATTTTTTCTAAAAATGTTTTCAAATGTGATAAAAAAAAATTGAAAGTTTTATTGGGAATAAAATCAATCAATTTTGCTTAATAAATAGAAATACGTTTATAACATATGGAACTAATGTGACAAGTATTAAACTATCAATTAGAGAAATGGTAAATAAGTTTTTACATAAAAATACAAAGATAAACTAAAATTTAGTTTTAAATTTATATATAAATGATTTAGGTAAGTTAAATATCTCAAGAAGTTTCACTCTATTTGCTGACGATGCTACTATCTTGTGGCATAATAAAGACGTCAATATTCTTTATGCAAATATTAGTAATGACCTCAAATCCTTAAAAACATGGTGCACTGCAAATTTTCTGTCATTAAATTTTGAAAAAACAAAAATAATTACCTTTAAACGTAATATTCCTGATATTTCAATAGATGTGGATACTGTAGAAGCCACAGAAATTTTTGGGTTTAAATATCGACCCCGATTTGAAATTCAAATCTCATGTGGAACCACTTTTAAAAAAACTCGCATCGGGTTATTATGCCATTAGAACTACCTTTCATGAATTAGGAGTTTGTCCAGAAAAAACTGCATGTTATGCGTTAGTTGACTCCCATTTACGTTAAGCCTTGGTTTCTTTGAACACTTCGTCGCGGTGAGCGGACAGTCCGTCAACCGTCGAGTTTTGACGATTTTATCCAACCAGAGTATTTAAATGGGAATGGTTTTCTTGAATCCGCTTAGTTGAACAGGACGGCGTCATGCCGCTGATTTGTCGCGAAGAGTCGGTTGATATCTGTTGAGTTTGATATCAGCGGAATCGTCGGCGTGTGCGGAGACTATATTGTTATTAATTTTAAAACAATGAGTGACAAATTCACACATACAGATGACATCATGACTTTATTTTTAGGTTTCTTGGAAATTATGTCCTTTATAAAACTCAACACGAATTCAAAAAGATCTGTAGAAAGTCTAAAATACTCCCTAAATTTGGTTTCATTTCCAAAAAGCCTCCGCTGCACAGTGATATTAAAGGCACCTTCTGTATCGCGACACAAAAACAACTCATTCATTGGCTTATTGGAAACTTTGACGGCTGCAATTGCCAGTTCCTCTTGTTCTTCCTCTTCCAACAATAATAACAATGCAAATAATTTATTTGCAACCATTTTAGTACCTTTCGTTTACATTCATAATACATAAACAGCACGTACAGACATAGAGAAAGTATCATTTTCTATATTTTTTAACAAACCACCTCGGGCGAAAATTGCTGTCTTCAGCGGTCGACGAACTGTCCGCTTACCGCGACGGAGTGTTCAAAGAAACCAAGGCTTTATGCTGTTCAGTTTTGGGGAGTCTGTTTTGCCGAGTTATGTGGTAGAGTCTTTATAATGCAGAAACGGGCAATAAAGTTCTTATTTATTTATTTATAAATTTGGCAACCTAACAAGCAAATAAATGCCCAATTATAAGGTTGCACGAAAAATAAATTACATATTTTCATGATCAGTTCATCATACTAACTTAATACTAAAATTAACAATAAATAAAAAAAGGAAGAAAAAGTGACAACAGTATATTAATATTTAATATATGATAACTTAATAGTTTTAGCATTTTGATAATATACTTCTTTAGTTTTATCATTTTATTTTAGCTTATTTATTTCTTTTTTATTTTTATTTTTTTTTTTTTTTTCTACTCCAAGGCACGTTACTTGGTGCGACCATTTCGAGTGTTTTTTACAATGCTAAATAGGAGGTACATCACGAGAGAACCGAAAAAGCAGCGTGCCTTAGTGTGTACAGAGAAACATAAGCCAGATCAAGGTGGTCAAAATATTGATTATAGTAGTTTTGCAGTCTTGTTACCGGAGAGTTGTTACAATAGTTTGTTAACGCTGAGTTATAAAAAAAAGATTAGTTGAGCGAGATGTGTGATTTTTCGCGTAAAAGTTTAAGTTTTCTAGTGTATACACAGAGTCAATTTTGTTGTTTATGAGTTTGTAAAGAAATATAAGATGAGCAACAACTCTCCTTGAAACAAGTTTATTTATTTTGTAATGTCGTAAGCTAAAATCATATGATTCAAGAATTATATTTCTATTAAACCGGTAATTTAAATGTTTTATTAGTTTTCTTTGAACTCCTTCTATCCGACTGATGTATTTATAATAACACGGTGACCATAAAGTTGACCCATATTCAAGAGTGCTTCTAACCATTGAGTTATATAATATTAAAATAGACTTAGCATTAGAAAATTTTTTTGTATTTCTGAGAATAAACCCTAAGGTTCTTAAAGATTTTTGGACAATATTTTCTACATGAATGTCAAAGTTTAACTTAGAATCGAGGGTAATTCCATGATCTTTGATACTAGAAACTTCTCTGATAATATTATTCTGGATGAAGTAACTCCACTGGATATAGGACGACAATCGCGAAAAGGTTATTTTATTACATTTATCAATATTTAAAACCAGACGATTTGTCCCACAATATTCATAAAAGCGAGCTATGTCCTCCTGCAACAACTCACAATCTCTTCTACTTTTAATAATTTTAAATAGTTTTAGATCATCGGCATATAACAGACATTGAGAATTTTTAAAGCATGTTGTTATATCATATGTAAAAATGCTAAAGAGTAAAGGACCTAGATGTGACCCTTGAGGTACCCCTGAGGTTATGGGTATAAAAGGTGAGTTTTTATTGTTGAATGTTATGCACATACTTCTGTTTGTTAAATAGGATTTAATCCATCGTAGAAGGTTGCCGTATACCCCAAAATTCTCCAATTTTACTAACAAGGTTTCATGATGCACGTTATCAAAAGCTTTGGAGAAGTCTGTGTACACGGCATCCACCTGCTTACGTTTATCCATAGCTTCCAGATTATTTTGGACAAATTGTATTAGGTTTGTAACTATCGATCGACCCCTGTAAAAACCATGCTGTTGTAGCGGTATTAATTGTTTGCATTTAAAGAACAGATCTTTTGTTATAATCGCCTCAAATATTTTCCCCATCACCGACAGGAGTGAAATAGGGCGATAATTAGATATGTGACATCTTTTTCCACTTTTATATATAGGAATCACATTGGCTGTTTTCCATTTTAGAGGAAAGCATCCGGTTGATAGTGATAAGTTATAAATTAAAAACAGAGGTTTAATGATAGCCTCTTTGCAAGATTTTATAAAAATGGGAGGAATTCCATCTGGACCTGCTCCTTTGTTAATATCAAGTTCATTTATAGTATCATCAATTTCTCTCCTCGTTATATGATGAATATTAAAGTGATGTAAGCTATTATTAGTCTGTGGAATCAGCGATGCGGAATTATTCGGCTCAAAAACAGATGAAAAATAATTACAAAAAGATGTACATATGTCATTGTCATTAGAAAATTCTGTTCCATTGTGAGTGAAATATGTAGGTACTGATTTTTTACTTTTCTTATTTGATATAAATGACCAAAAAATGTTTGAATTTGTACATAGATTATTTTTAATTCTGGATGTATATAATCAGTTTTGGCGGATAGTTTAGCTTCTCTTCTCAAATTTGAAAAACGGTCATAGTAATTTTGATTTCTATATTTCAGCCAGTCACAACGTGCTTTTAACTTTTCTGTAAGAATATTTTTTGTTTATTTGGAATACCAGCATGGATATTTATTTTTGATAAATTTAGCTTTGATATGTTTGTCAACACTTTGGTACAGAATAGTATAAAACGTATTCACTGCGTCGTTTACGTTTATATCAGATAGTTCATTATGCCAGTTGATTCTGTTTAACTCGCAGTTAATTTCCTGGTAATTTGCATGTCTAAAATCCAACCTTCTGTAATTATATATTTTTTTAAATTTTATGTCATTTAAGTCAACTATAATATCGAGAGATTTATGGTGAACGTCAGGGTTAACAAAGGGTGTACTGTGCTCATTTACAGTAACATTGGTAGTAAACCTAATAGTTTATTATTAGCATTGAGAATATTACTAAACTGATTAAGTTCATTAAATGACATGATGTCAACAACAGAGGACTCTAATAAAGTGATAATATTACTAGGAGTAAAAAAATTGTGAGATGTGATAGGAGACCACCGCAAGTTAGGAAGATTAAAATCACCTATTATTAAAAATACATCATTAGGATGTTCAGATATCACATTACTTACATTATTAAGAAATAAGTTCATATTATTTATACTTGCATATGGAGGTACGTAAACGCAACACGTATGAAGAAATTTATTACTTTTAAGGCGCAAGGACACCCACAAATCTTCAACAATTCCCGCACTGCACCACTGATCATTTAACACAGAACAAAAAAGTTTTCTTATTGCAATTAGGACACCTCCACCATCTTTTTTCTGAGTTGTATCACGAGAGCGATCGCGACGATAAATTTCAAAAATATTTAAATCAACTAATTCGCCATCTTCTATAGACGATTTAAGCCAGGATTCTGTGATGAAAAGAGCGTCCGCTGAAGTAACGCTACTTGCAGAAAAAAAATCATTAAGCTTGGTTCTAAGTCCTCGGGTATTTTGGTAATAAATATTGAACGTAATAGATAGTTTTGAGAGAAAATGGATATACATTATTTACAGACTAACAAATTAAGAAATTAAGGTCGTTTTCTTTTTTTATTAACTTAATTTTGCCATCCTTTCCCGTTATATAAATTCTACAGTCTCTGGTCCAGCATGACAGCCCTTTTTGATTAGCTAAATCACGAGCTTTTTTAAGAAGGAACTTATTAACAGGTGTAAGATGCTCATTTATGTATAAGGGTTTGGTTCCGTTTTCACCAGAAAAACCTATATCGGAGTTTAGAAGACCTTTGCGTTTACGTATTTAACTATAATAGATCGAGGATTCATATTGTTACTATCATAATGAGCAACCCTATGTAAAGTACATAGATTAGTTTCATGTAGACCGCTGTTCTTAAAACAAGAAATATTAACATTAACTTCATTATTTATCTTAGAAACTTGTTGCATGATCCATGAGAACAAGTCGAAATATAAATCGAATATATCCTGTGTAACCCGCCAAACGGGTAACTTGAAGTTGCCTATCACTATGAAGATCTAATCTTCATACTGTAGGCCTGGTGGTTTGGTAGGGTCAATGATATAGACAGTTATATAAATTGATCATTTATGTTTTTAAAAATAAACATAAGAGCCTTGAAGTAAAATTATAGGCATTTATTTCATACATAAATGACATGTCATGTTAAACTTCAAACACTTTGATGCTATTTGTTTCCAACGGTAACTTCATGAGACGTTACTTACTGTAGGTGCGTTATATTGAAAAATTTTCCGAAAACTTTTGAGACATACGTTATAAAATTTTGTGTTATTCTCTTTATCCTTTTTTGAGTTATCGTGGATGCAGACAAAGAGACACACACCCAGACATAACCGCGAAGATGGTCAACAGTAATTCAGGATTCAGGGATCCCTAAATTTCTTACTCCTTACAGGTTGATTTTTTTGCGCAATCCTATTTTATAAATTTACCAAAAGCCCTATTATTACACTATGACGAAAACTAAATTATATTTTGTATCAACCTTAGTAAAAAATTGCAAAACGCCTTTGTTTAAAAATTCTGCGTTGCTGTTTCAAATTATATAACAGTCAAATGACTGTTCCTGGTAAGAACAAAAATACGATAAAAAGTACATTTTTCTGGTTGCAATATCACTTTATTAAAGTCTACAGTTACATCAAAACATAGTCAAGTAGTTTTCTTTGACGTCGTTTCAGGTTTAGTGGAATTTTCAATTATGAAGAGCCGTAATCAAAACAAAGACTGCTCGCTGAGAAGCTGAAATCATAGAAGCGGCGTCTAGGGGGGTTTATGGGGTATTAGGACTATTAAAAAAATTGGTAAAAAAGAAAGTAGGCAGTGACAAATCGGTTTAAAGTTTTGAAAAACTATGGGTTATTGTTCCAAAATAAGAAAGCATATTTGATAAATTTAATATTTAACTTGCATTGTAAGCAGTAATAATAATAATATTAATAATAATAAATAATCACTTTATTGGTACAAAAGTATAATAAAGTATAATAACAAAATAAACAACATAAAACAATACATATATTGGCAATAAAGTTAGGAAAAAAACAAACGATAAGTACAGGGTGATTCTTTTATCATGGGAAATGAGTTTTTCTCGTAAACGGCTGCAGCAAATTGAGTTTTGTGAAAAGTATTTTATTTGGGCCGGCTAATGCTTAAAATTGGGATGGATAAGGAAGTTATAAATAAGCGACGCTGGGCGTCGCGACGCTTCAATTTTTTTTTTGTCAGAAGCATACCATTTTTATTTCAGAAATTGAAAGATCTATTCAATAGAAACACTTTTTTCAAATACCATTTTTTTCCATCTAAAACCATTCAAGCATTACAATCCAGTTTTTATGTTTTAAATTTGTCGATTGCCATACAAAAAATGCTGGGTTTTTAAATTTCACTAAATCAGGCAGGCTAACTTTTATGCTGATATTGACAACAAATATAATTTAGGATTTAAAGAAAACAATTTACAAGATGTTCCTACATTTAATAACACTTATGTAATTGTTTAGGAAATAATCAAAGTTTACACTAACAACCCATAAAACATACATAAAACATTAAAGAATAACATGAACTGTATTTAGTAAAAATTAATTGCTAATTCACAAATCTTATTTTAACAATTGCTCGATATATGCGCCATCGTTATCCACACATAAATTGTACCGCTTTCTTATTTAGAAAGATGTAACTTTTCTTAAAACATCACCAGATATTCCATTGCACGCATCAATAATTTTTTGTTTTAAAATATCTAAATTATTAGATTTTGTTTTATACACTATATTTTTTAAAATTCCCCATAAAAAGAAATCTAAGGGTGTCAAGTCCGGAGATCTAGGCGGAAATTTCAAGGGCCCGTGTGTCCCCAACCATCTTCCGTGGTAGACTTCATTCAAATAATTTTGAACAATGACCGCATTGTGGCAAGGAGCTCCATCTAGTTGAAACCATAAGTTTCTTCTGATTTGCAGTGGCACATGTTCCAGCAAAAGAGGAAGGTGATTTTGGAGAAAATCTAAGTATCTTGGGCCCGTCAAGGCGCCTTCATAAAAGTATGGCCCTACTAAGTGCCGCCCAACTATTCCGCACCAGACGTTTATGCCAAAGTGGCCCTGTATTTGATGTTGTCTGATTTTGCGCGGGTTTTCGTCTGACCAATAATGGGTATTTTTTTTGTTTGGTAATCCATGACTAACAAAATGACTTTCGTCTGTCCATAGTATATGAGAAAATAAATTAGGATTGTCATCCAAAGACACCAAAAACTGACAAATAAAATCCT